TGGCGGAGCAAATGAACAGTACCACTTTGAATGAGTGGAAGGGTGGGATATAAGGGAAGAAAAATAACAAATAGCGAAACCGCATGCAGAGGAAAGGATGTGTGATGACTATCGGCTATATTATTATGATATAATGATAATAATAATAATAATAATTAATATTGTTATTATGATAGCTAGTGATAAAAATAATAATTAAACAGGAAATAAAAAACAAGATTTTTAGTCTAAAAATGTTTTGACCAATCGCTTGCGAGAATGAATTCATTTCTAATTAACTATCTCGTGTGGTTGGTTAGAACACGATGTCAAACATTCGAGAAATTTTTTTTAGGTTTTCACGGTTTTCTAACTTTGACTGTAAAAAGCCAGTATACTTTTTATCATAAGCGTTTTTTGAGCTCCATAAATCTTACGTACTGTGGTATAGTTTTGGTATTGCACCATATAAGGCACGATGAACAAAAGACGTTTGTACCAAAGCTTAAGCTACACCATAATGCACCTAGAAAATGTCTATTCAATATTGATATATTTCTTTAATTACCTTTTAGGTTGTTTAGAGCAATCTCTTGTAGGAAAAAACAACCTGAGTATACCAGATAGCAGTTATACAGCATCATCATATCACAAAAACTCAACCATCCCAGGCGATGTCCGATACGCACCTTACAACGCCAAGCTGAATGGTTCATATGGATGGGGAGCAAGAGATAATAATAATCCTGATGATTACCTGCAGATTGACCTCGGTACTACCCGTGTTGTTACTGCTCTAGCAACACAAGGAAATGGCTTCTCTGATGAATGGGTGTCAAAGTATAAAATTCATCACTCCAATAACCTTACAAAGTGGACAAGTTATGCAGAAAATCATTTCCTGAAGGTAAATTCCGAGTTTTATTCTAAAAATTTATGGAATATATACAAAGCGGATGCATGATTGTTAGTTAGTGATTTGTGTCCGTATGATAACTGATGTTTGATGATGATTCTAGTGGTCTGATGGTGATTCTAATGATGTCTGATGATGTTTCGAGTGGACGATCTGATGGTGATTCTAATGATGTCTGATGATGTTTCGAGTGGACGATCTGATGGTGATTCTAATGATGATTCTAATGAAGTTGGACCTTGATCAGCTAATGATGTTTGATGGCAATTCTGATGATGTCTGATGAGAATTCTGATAATGTCTGATGATGATTCAACGATGCGTAGTGATGTCATTCAAATGATGGCTGATACTGAATTACAATTATAACGGTCTTATCATTTTTTTCTTTATTTCGGATCTTTTTATAGATATTTGAAGGCAATACAGACAGTAATGGAGTAAAACGTCACGATCTTAGTCAAAACCCGATAACAGCAAGGTACATCAGGTTTGTCCCAGTAACATACAATGGTCACAAGACGATGCGAGTTGACATAAGTGTGATTTATCAAGGTATATGAATTTTAGATACACTACAAATTAATTGCAGCTGAGTGTTTTCATTTTGAATGGTATACTGTCTCATGCTTTGCAGAAGTACCAGTAGTGTCAGCAATTCCTCAACAAAGGTCAATCCAATTAAGCTGGATTATCAAACAGTGCAATCTAACAGGTCCCATTACTGGGTTCGTCATTAAAAATGGAAGTAAAGATCTTCACGTAAGCGGCAGTGATAGGCAGTACGCTTTACTGGGCCTGAAGCCACACACAGAATATGACGTAAGGTTGCTAGCAAAAACACAACGTGTAAATGGATCATGGAGCGAGACAACAAAGATTAAGACAAAGGAGGATGGTAAAATATTGTCTTGAAGTGAGGTTGCCTAACCCAAAAATAAGGCATTATTTAAAAATTCTATACTTTTCTGTTTTAAGCCCCCTCTGCTCCGGTGAATGTCACTGGTGCCTTAATACCTGCACAAGGTTCCTTTGGACCACGTGCTGTTATCACGTGGGAAAGACCACGTTATCTGCATGGTATCATCAGAAAGTACACCATTGTATACTACTATAACGAGGAAACATTCAATGACAAGACAGTCACTATCAGTGGATCAGCTGATCTCAACTACAGTATCAATGTTACAAAGAATGGAATACTATCATACAAGATAAGTGCGACTACGGTCAAGGAAGGACCTTATGCAGATGGGAAAGACATTGAGTATGGTAAAAACTTATATATAAATCCTCTGATAGGTATTAAGTTTAATTCATTCAATTTAACCTTGATCAGTTAGCGCCATTATTCAGACGAGCAAAATGTTATATGTTGACATCTCATGATAATAGACAAAACGATTCGATCTTTTTTGAGTTAATTTTATGGATCGGGGAATGAAATTAAGTCTCATTTCAAGAAGGTGCACGTCAAAGGGAAAAAACATTATTAAAGTGTAGCCCTATACATTACGATACTAAAACATAGAAACAAAGAAAGGGTTAAATGGGAAATGGGAAATGGGAAATGGTGTATGCAACTAGGCTACGATCAGTACCTTATTTTGTTCTTATGAATGTCTTATGTTTGCTGGTTGCACTAGGGTGTCCAGAGCAATCTCTTGTTGGAAAGGAGAAAAATCTGAAACTATCAGACAGCAGTTACACAGCCTCATCATATTATAGACGACCAAGCTTCCCAGGCGATGTTCGATACGCACCTTACAACGCCAAGCTGAATGGTTCACATGGATGGGCAGCAAGATATAATAATAATCCTGATGATTACCTGCAGATTAATCTCGGTACTCCACGTGTAATTACTGCTGTAGCAACACAAGGAAGTGGTCGCACTGCGAATAGAGAATGGGTGACAAAATACAAGCTGTATTTAGCACCAAATAACATAACGCGGTGGTATACTTATAAAGGTG